ATATTAAAAGGCAACATGGGGCTCCCTGGTGGCGCAGCGGGTAAAGCCGCTTCCGCATGAGTTCGATTCCCGCCTGCCCCGGAGGTGACCACATGGCGTGGCAGACCTCTCCTGACCCACCCGCTGCTCCCCTCAGCAGTGTACTTCATCCATCTGCCTGTTCTGCTCCCCACTCTGTCTCTGGTGAAGCCTCTCGCCGCCCCTGAGCCTCTGGCCTGTACCCCAGTTCTGTATGCACAAGTAAATAAATTAAAAAAAAAAAAAGAATTAAAAAGGCAACATGGGGGCCCTCCCTGGTGGCGCAGTGGGTTAAAGCAAAGCACTAAGAAGCAAAGCACTAAGAAGCTAAAGCCACTTCCGCATGAATTTGATCCCCGCCTGCCCTGGAGGTGACTACATGGCGAGCCAGACCTCTCCTGACCCACCCGCTGTTCCCCTCAGCAGTGTACTTCCTCGATCTGCCCGTTCTGCTCCCCACTTTGTCTCTGGTGAAGCCTCTCGCCACCCCTGAGCCTCTGGCCTGTACTCCAGTTCTGTATGCACTAATAAATAAATCTTTAAAAAAAAAAAAAAAGGCAACATGGGGATGTAATCATCAAAATCCAAACTGTAGCCAACCCTATGGGTTAAATACCTACTTTTCAAGAAAAACAAGGAACAGGAGGAACTCCTGATTTAAAGAAGCTCAAAACACATACCAACCAGCTGCAATGTGGATTTTAGTGGGATCCAGATTTAAGTAAACTACAGAGGGGCCCTTCCAGTGGTGCTATGGGTTAAAAGCTCAGCACTGTGAAGCTATATGCAGCCACTGCAGCATGAGCTCAACCCCCCCAGCCAGGGAGCTGACCCACATGGCACAGCAGACCTCTCCTGTCTCAACCGCTGCTCCCCTCAGCAGCGTACTTGGTCAGTAGGCCTGTTCTGCTCCCCAGTCTGTCTCTGGTGAATCCTCTCATTGTTCCTGCATGTCTGGCCTGTACCCCAGTTCTGTGTGCATAAATAAATAAATCTTTAAAAATAGATAAATGAACTATACAAATTGAAATAAAAGGGTAAATCTGATGAGAGTAAGAAACTGTTCATTTTTTATATGTTAATAATTATGGTTATGTTAAATAAAAGTTCTTTTATGATTCTGCTTCACAGAAACTCAGCTGAGGAGAGCTGATAAATACAAGTAAGATTGTAAGATGATGAGTTTTTGAAGTTGGGTAAAGGGTTATTGTCCTTTCAGCTACTGTCTGCTTGAAATAGTTTATAATTAAAATTACTTTTTAAAGTAAGTAAACATTGTAAAATATATTCTTAACATTATCTTGCCACACTGGTTTCTTCCTCCAGGTCTGGTCATCATGACACGGAAATATATACAATGCTATTTGACTAAGTCTACTATGCATGCCTAAGTGCAAAACACTGCTTGAGGCACTGGAAGGGACATGAAAGAAATTAACTGATCCAGCCTTTGCCAAATCTTCTTAAGGGAAAGATTTATAACCAAGAAACAATGAGACATACAATTAACAGAACAAACCAAAGTATAAGAAAGTGTCACACTAGCTGTTATTGTTCAAATACAAGGTACAATATCAAAATGCTAATGTGAGTGAAAATCAACAATGGTTACTTGAAACCAGAATGAGAGAAAGTATCTCACCCACTGTAATAGCTAACAGAAAAATGATTGACATGACAGAAGTAAGGGTGCAGAGCAGCTAGAACATTCATTCATAGCATGTGGGAATATATAATGGTACAATTCCATACACAACTATTACGCAGTTTCATTTAAAGTTCCAAATAACTACCACATAATCCGATCACTCCATTCCTGGGTATTTACCCAAAGGAAAGGAAAACATGTCCACAAAACAACTGTAAGCAGTGTTTTAGGAGCCTACTTCATAATAGCCAGAAACTGGACACAACCCAAATGCCCATTAATAGAAGAAAGGATGGATAAATTGTGATACAGTCACCCCATGGGATACTATTTGGTAAGGAATTACAGATACACACACGAGACATACTAGTGAAAAAAGCCTGACACAAAAGCCCTACATCATGTAATCCCACTTAAATAAAGTTATAAAACAAGCAAAATTAACCAATGGAACTTTCAGTGGGCAGGGGTAAAAATGTTCATCTTGTGGTTCTTGGGTGAACTGTACCACTAAGAAATTTTGTCTTATTCTCTGTTAAAAAAAAAAAATTGAAAGTTGGGGGGCTTATAAAGTTGCCCAAAAGTAATATGCTTCAGTTATCAGTACAGGATATGGAGTTAGAGAGTAATATAATGAAAGTTTAAAGAACTGTATACCATGTCTTGGTTTAGGCTAAATTTTGGAGAAAGAATGACAGCAGGAACACTTGGTTAAAGATATCACAGAGAGACCCCAGATATGAATAAGGGTAATGGGAATGGAACGAAAATGAAGCAGAAAAATACTGTCAAGGAAAAAATTAAGTTCTATAAGGAAAATGACTCAAGCAAATTGGGCTCCAGACACTTGGCTGAATGATGGGCTCAGTGTACAAGATGAGTACTGGGAAATGACTTAAGACAGAAAATGATGCATTTAATTTTTGAGAGACGGAAATGAGCTATCCAGAGAATATTTAACTCAGAAGGGATTTACTTGTTAAGGATTGCAGAAAGAGAGAAAAACTAAGCTAGCTACACAGAGATGGCAGCTGAAAATTTGCAAAGGAATCCTAATAAAACATTATCATTTCCATAGTAATTAACAGTTAATTGCTTTTAAATGTGTTTAGCATATAAAGACATGCGTTTAAAAAAAAGGGAGAGAGAGAGATGGAGGATAGAGAAGCAAACAAAAAAAAAGTACAAAGAAAGTAGTTTGGGAAAAGAGACTGAATTTTAAAGAAGTACTAAATAAAGAGGGATTCAAAGAAAGAACCGGATTCAAAGAAAGAACCCAAATCTAGAGCCTTATTACTCAAAGTGTAGTCCCTAGACAAGTGTAACTTACTTCTCAGGAAAAGGCCAAACTAACGTTACTCTGCACCAAATGTCAGGCCATCTGGCAGTGTGGGTCTGTTAGGGCTGCGTGACAGGCAATACCATACGGTTACATGGGAGCATGTTAAAAATGCAGTCGAGTCCCATCCCAGACCCAATGAATTAGAAGCAACATTTGAACAAGATTCCCAAATGATTCTTAGGCACTTTTAAGGTGAGAAGCCCATCTAGATCACAGTATTCCTTTAAATGCAGGTCTCAACCCATGATAAGATCATGCAATAAACTTAGAATTGAAAATATCTGCCATAGTAAGCTTTCTATATAGGACATAAGTGTAGGTTGGTATTTGAATGTTAAAAAAAAACCCAAACATTAAACACAGGTATAGCAATCGCCTCTTCTTTGGACAAAGAGTGAGGTAAGAGGATATTACAAGCCATAAGCATTGAAAACACTATTCATTCTGCTAGTGTTTCTCAAACTTAAGACAGCGACCCAGATTAAGGTGTACATTTTAAGAAATACATTAACTATTCAACACATATGTGTATAATACACATGCAAGATGGATAAACATGGCACAAAACAATACTCTTACCCAGGAATATATCCTGATAATTCTATTATTTTTTTAATTGTGGGTTGTTTGTGACCCACTGACTCATTCTTTGATTTCACAATTAATGACTCTCTTATAGGTCACTTCTCAAAGTTTGAAAATGATCTTAAACATGCTGTGTGGTCTCAATATTAAGAGAAAGGACTGCAAAGAATGTTTAGAATATATGGTAAGCACACTAAGAAGCGATGAAATAACGATAACTAACTTAGCAGTAAAAAGATCAAACTAACATTACCCTGCATCAGTTACTAGCTTTGTATCTGTCTGAAGGTACAAAAGAAGTAACAGCAGACAGGACTGAGGGCTAAGGAACTGGTGAAGAAAAACCATAGGAGCTGAGAGGCGGGAGATGAAGAAAACATTCTAGTACCAAAAACTAGGGCACTGGGAACTAACCTGCCTCAGTCAAGAAGTGAGGCTGGTCCAGGATGCCCGGCTCACAAGGCAGCCGCTGACCGGACCCATTCCCAGCTTTGACTCCTGAAGGAGGGCTGAGCTACTACAGCAAGGCGAAAACCGACAAAAGCTCAGCCAAGGCTCTGCGAGGCCCCTGCTTCCCCCGGCTAACGTTTTGGGTAATGCTCGGACGCATCCTATGTTGGGGGTAGGAGAAGCAGGTTCCTGGGCATGAAGAATGGACATCAGAGCTGACTGCAAAAATCCGAGAGGGAGGGAGCTCAAGCTGCTGCTAGACCTTCTCCATGACCGCAGGGCTTGGAATGGACAAAGGCGGCTTCCTGTTGGGTCAGGGGGCAGCCCCGGCAGGTAAGCGGGAACAGCAGAGACCCCGCAGTCGCCCGGCCAGGCCAGTCCCCAGCTCTCAAAGCCCCACAGGGTCCCCCTATTTCCCATCACCCCTCGCGCAGAGCCCTGAGGTTGTCAGCGCCCTCCAGGCTCTGGAAAGGCGTGGTTTCCCTTTCCCTGCTCCTCCCGAAAGGCACAGCGGTCGGCTCAGTACCACTGCGTCTTGCCAAGGCCGGAGGTGCTCCCACCTTCACTTTAATAAGCATCTTCTTCCCAGTTTGGGGCTGCACACAGATAAATCCCTGCTTCTATCGCTGCAGTCGCCGCCGCCGCTTCCCAGCACTCCGCCTGTGGGACTCAGTTCTGCTTCCGGGTCATGGTCTGGCTCCTCCCACCCTAGCCCGTCCAGAAAGTGTTCCTGAAACGCCCGGGAATGCTCCACGTTTCGCTCCAAGGGCGTCGTGAATGAAAAGCGATCGGTCAGCTTAGTCACAGCAGAGGTGACGCTTCCGCGGTCCTCGGAGTCCACAGCGAGCTCGGACGAGAGGAAAGGGGCTGAGCGAACTCTCCAGCCCGGGGGCTGTTCCGCGCGTTCCACCCTGGGAATTGTAGTTCCCCGCCACTCGGCGGTAACGGCAGCCTCGGCGTGGGAACTCTGTTACCCAGAAGGCTCCCCCGGAAGCTGGGACGGCTGGACTTAGTGTACTCGCCGGCAACCGAGCATATTTCCGTGGCCCAGGAGGCCTAGCGGGGCTGCTCGAGGAAAGTTCCTAAGGGGCGCTTCGGTCAACTGCCACCTGGGCCACGGCAACAGGAAGTGAGTACCCTTATTCCGGAAGCTGGTTATGGGATCCCCTTACAGTCCCCCCCCCTCCCCCCCGGTCCCCGCCATTCCCTCGACCACTGCCAAATCAGCTTCTTCAAATTGCTCTTTGCAAGGACCGGGGTGGGGGGGGGGGAGAGGGGAGAAGGAAGTGGAGTAGGGTAGGTATGCACCTTTAGAGGGTCGCTCATGACTCAGTCCCAGTTTTTCTCCCCCAATAAGCAGTACCTGGGATGGGGACATCAAGAGTAATTGCAAACATGGGATGGATCAGAGGTGACAGTCTTCAGGGACCTGTTACCTGATCTTACAAAGTTTAAGTGAGGAGAGAGATGAGCTCTGCCACCAGCCCCAAGTGAACATTAGGTCTAGGGGCAGAGTGGTTCAGCTTACTACTCCGAACCTTTCCTACCTTCCTGCCATCAGATTCCTCTCCACGCGTAGGCCCCCAACATGCCTCACATTGACAGCAGCGTCAAACTGGACTTCAAGGATGTCCTGTTGCGCCCCAAACGCAGCACCCTTAAATCGCGAAATGAGGTGAGCTTTCTTCCCTGGTTACTCTTTCTTCTTCATTCAAGCTCCTCCTAGGCTTGAGAATAAACTGACTCTTGCACTCCTTCAGTACTTTTTTTTTTTTAACGAAATGTTCAGTTTCCTGTTCATATCTGCAGGTGGATCTCACAAGATCCTTTTCATTTCGCAACTCAAAGCAGATGTACACTGGGATCCCCATCATTGCTGCCAATATGGATACAATAGGCACCTTTGAGATGGCCAGGGTTCTCTCTAAGGTAGGACTTCCTTCATACTCCTTCCACATTGATGCCCAGTTTTGTAAGCTGTTTGCAGAGGTATCTACATCACCCTCCTAATTCAAGGTCAGCACTCTGGCAGTTAAAAGTAAGGATGCTTTCACGGGTGACCAAAAATTATGTAAAAATAAACTATTATATTATTTAAAAAAAAAAAGGGTGCTCTAATTTTACCCCCGATTCCCAGTACTAAGGCCCCCTTTACCTGATGTTTAAAGAACCATTTGAGTTAGTGAGATATGTTTTACCCTCATTTTTCTGGTATGACAACTTTCCCTTTTCTTTTACCCAGTAGTAGATACACCCTGCCAACTTTTCCTACCAGTTAGAGCATTAAAAAAACTCCTAGAAAGAATCAGCTTAGTTTTCTTTTCTTTCTTTCTTTTTTTTTTTTTTTTTTTTTAAATCTCCTGCTAATTTATTTTAAGTCCTAGGTCCTGGGAGTATTTGGGATCTGCCCAAAATGGAATTTTTTTTTCTTACATACAGGTTATTGGTCACTTTCAAAATGGAAGATGGTGCTCCTGTCAGCAATATTACCTGCTTCTGTACTTGTAGTCAGAACTATCTACATGAAGGTAGATAGTTACTCGGGCACCCCAAGAACAGACACACTCTTCTGTTAATCCATGTAGCCCTGCTTGATGGATTCTGTTACCACTTGTGGCTGTTAGTCTTAAGGACTTCATCTCCCTTTCTCTATTTTTGATTGCTGTAAGTCTTTATGGAATGTATTGTCATTTTCCTGAAATTGATAGTTACGCAGTTTTTGCTGTTGTCATTCATTAACTGCTTAGGACTTATGCTGTTGACCACTGTGTGCTCCGTCCAGTAAGGCTGGGGAATGGTGAATCTGACTTCAACATGAACAGTCATGCTGTAATAATGGACCTTGTTTTGATACTTTGAGACTGGATTTTCAGCACTACTAAAGAATGCTGAAGAAATAAGATTTTAGAGATGGAACCAAGTCTCACAGTAATATTAAAAAGATTAGATGCAGGCAAGAATCTTTTCTAGATCTTTAGCTTCCTGTGTGTAATTGGATGTGTTCATCATGCGACACTATGCCAGAATGTTGACAGTCAGCTGACCAACCTGAGTGATTTTCCTTTTCAGCATGTTAAGAGCAGAGTGCTGCCGAGAAAGCAGAATTCAGTGTAAGCTTCTGCTGGTAGTGTTGATGATGTGATCTCGAGTATAGCAGTAGCTGCTGCTGGCTAGTATGTGACACCTGTATTTCTTGTCATTTGCAAGATTTGTGCTGTCTCAGTCAACCGCTGCCTCGTTTGTATGTCTGCATCTTAAAGTACCAGTTTTCATAGTGGACTTTGGGTGCCTTTCTCAAAGTACACTGCTTGTGATTTGCTAAGCTAAAGTGTACCAGTATTTGAACTTGGTTGAAATACTTTTAAGTTTGGTCATCGCTTAAGAAAATTTGTGCTTTACTCAAATGGAGATAGATTGTGAAAATACTCTACTCATAGTTGGCTTATTTTAAGATTTATTTATTTGTGCATGCAGAACTGGGGTACAGGCAGAGGTGCAGGGGCGGTGAGAGGCTTCACCAGAGACATTAGAGTGGAAAACAGAACAGGCGGATTGATGAAGTACACCGCTGAGGGGAGCAGCAGGTGGGTCAGGAGAGGCCTCCCACGCCATGTGGGTCACCTCAAACAGGGCTGTGGCTCAAACTCATGCAGCAGTGGCTGCAATCGCTTCATAGTGATAGGCTTTAATCCAGTTGCACAACCAGGGAAGGCCCCACTGTTAGCTTTTTTAAGGCCTTTTATGAGCATTTAAACCCACTGAATTATTACTGATAAATAGACCAGAACATATCAAAATTTGGTTAGTGCTATACCAGGTTACCATAGTAGGAGGGACGAGTCTGCTGCAGGCAAACACAGGCTCTGGCCAGTCCCTTCATGGCTCTTACCTACCATTTGCCCCAATGCACCAGCAGCTTGTGCTTTCATCCAGCCAGCCAGCACTGTATGTGCTGGCAGGTGAAACGCAGTCCAGATGTCTTATACTTTAGTGGGCATATTTGACAAGAATCAGCTTATGGTAATAGCCCCACTGGGATTTCTTTGTAGGGAGAATCATGGTAGACTTAAATATTCTAATCACTTTTTCCAAACTTCAGTCCTTTTCTCCCTTAGAATAGTATAAAGGTCTTATTCTAGAAAAAGTGACTTTTCCCCCAAAGATTTATTTATTTATGAATACAAGAACTGACTTGTAGGCCAAAGGTGCAGAGAGAAGATTCACCAAAAACAGTGGGGAGCAGAACAGGCAGATCTACTGAAAGACACTGCTGAGGGGAGCAACAGGCAAGATAGGAGAGGTCTGCTGTGCCATGTGGGCCAGCCTCCTGGCTAGGGATCAAACTTAAGCCACAGTTGCTGCTGGTAGCTTGATAGTTAAGACTTTAACCCCTGCACTACCAGGGAGGGCCTAGAAAAAGTGACTTTTATAAAATTCTTTTGACAGTTCTCTCTCTTTTCTCTAGTTCTCCCTCTTCACAGCTGTCCACAAACACTACAGCCTCAAGCAGTGGGAAGAATTTGCTAGCCAGAATCCTGATTGCATACAGGTAACCCTGGGGTCTACACATCCCTTCTTCATCCTAGTTTTCCAGTAATCATTTTTTTAAAAAATATTCCTTATTTATGCATAAGGAATGTAGACCAGAGGTGCAGAGGTGAGAGGATTCACCAGAGATAGTGGGCAACAGTAGGGAGCAGAACAGGCAGGTCTACTGAAAGCATTGCTGAGGGGAACAGTGAGACAGGCGACGCCTGCTGCACTTTGTGGGTCACCTCCCTAGCAGAGATTGAACTCTCGCCACAATGGCTGCTGATGGCTTGATATTGCTGAGACTTTAATCTCTGTGCCACCAGGGCAGCGCCTTTTGTTGTTGTTGTTTTTTGGCTTTCTGGGGACCAGCCATTGTCTCCATTGGCTGTTCACTAGGACATCTCTGATATGCCACAGGCTAGCTAAAGCCTATGTTGTTCCCACAGAATCTGGCGGTCAGCTCAGGCATAGAGTCTTTTGACTTTTATAAACTGAAACAGATCTTGGAGGCTATTCCTGAGGTGAAATATATCTGTCTGGATGTAGTAAATGGCTACTCTGAACACTTTGTTGAGTTTGTCAAGGATGTGCGGAAGTGCTTCCCCAGCCACACCATCATGGTATGTTTGTTACCCTGTGGGTGATGTACTCCTCTTCACTCTTTCCTTCCATGCCTTTTTGTATGTCACTTCATTTCTCCTCTGCTGCTTTATGACTTATTTAATCATGTCATTGGGTGAAAATCTGTGGTTCCATGCTAAAATGTTTGGAGCAGATGTCCCTGCCCCATGATGGCGCATTTATGCACCATACATACCTGTGGTACGAATACATCTGCCCTCTGATAGGTACATGTACTACAATCATACAGAAGTTACATGAAAAAATGTTTTATTGTTCTGATAAACATAGAGGAGTGACAGCAAAGCCTCACTTTCTTCACAGTATTAAGGTGTGTGTCTCTGTATTGTCCAGTAAAAGTAAGAATTATGCAGGTGAATATTTAACCTCAATAGCAAATCTCCCCCCTCTCCCGAAGTCAGAGTAGTTTTATGACATGCAGCCTAAGGACAGGATATATTTGGGTCTCCTGGCAGGCAGAGGGAGGGAGATCTAGTGTAAGCCAGCTCTGAGCTTGGTCCAGTTGGATCCCAGCTTTACCTCAGCACATCAGTGACACTGGCCATTCACTCCCTACCTCAGTGTGGGAAGCTGCACTCTTTGAAATGGCTGTTCTAGAAGTCTGCAGAGAGAACCCAGGTACCCTTCTTTATAATACTTTTGGAAAGTCATACCATGCCACCGCCTCTCTTATTTCCAAACTTAATGCTGATTGATTGTTCTGTCTCAGGCAGGGAATGTGGTAACGGGAGAGATGGTGGAAGAACTGATCCTCTCTGGGGCTGACATCATCAAAGTGGGGCTTGGACAAGGTAATCTGGTTCTTGGGGGCCACTGGCTACCTTTCATCAACAAACACCGGTGGAATATGTCACTCTTTCTTGTGTTCTTCTCAGGCTCTATGTGTACCACCAGGACAAAAACTGGAGTGGGGTATCCACAGCTCAGTGCAGTGATGGAATGTGCAGACGCTGCTCATGGCCTTAACGGCCACATCATTTCAGTAAGGCCCAAGGACAGGGAAGAGTATGCAGTTTCCAAAACATCTGGTTTTCTGCTGAGTATGGAGGCTCTAGTAGAAGTGAATAAGAACTCCAGGGTTCCTTTTAGTTCTGAAGTGGACTGATGGGTCATCAGTAAGAGGGCTTAGGGAATCCATGCTCTCTTTTCATAGAGGTCCTTATTTCTGCAGGATGGAGGCTGCAGCTGTCCCGGGGATGTGGCTAAGGCTTTCGGTAAGGATGTTAAGGATGTTGAGAGGGCACAGTGGGAGGATCCTGTAGAAGAGGATGAACCACCTCTGAGGGTTTAGGATCATGCTAGAGAGGCTAAGAAAACCATTCATATTCTTCTGTAATATTAACTAGTCACCATGAAGCCTGTGGTGTCATCCGGTCAAGCCAGCAGGCCTAAACCCTGAGCCTACGAAACAGGCTCCAGGTATGCTCCAAGACCATCTCACCATTCTTTGGACTGCTGGACAATGTATATCATAGCCCCACCCCAGATCTACAGATTCGTCTGCGGAGAGTAGGCCTGTGAACCTGCAGCCCCACAGCTTCCCAGGGGATCCTCGTTCACAATAAACTTGGAAACTTTTGTTTTTGAGATACTAGTAGTTAAGTCATGCTCAACTGGACACAGTAAAAGGAAATGACTAGAGGATGCCAAGTACAGCCAGGGAAAAGCAAAAGCCAGGCAGAGAATCTCCAGAATCCCCTTTTTAAATTCATGGGGAAATCCAGCTCACTGAGGACTAGAACAGGCCTATGGGGCTGAGGGCCAGCCAGGGAAGTGAGACCAGGGAAATGGAGACTTCATTCTTAGGACTGGGAATCTGATATGAGTTGCTAATGAGGGTGGACGTGTGGGTACCTAGACCAGAGTCATCCCTTTCCCTTTTTGATGCTGGCAGGGGCAGGGGCTGACTTCGTGATGCTGGGTGGTATGCTGGCTGGGCACAGTGAGTCAGGGGGTGAGCTCATCGAGAGGAATGGCAAGAAGTACAAACTCTTCTATGGGATGACTTCTGAAGTGGCCATGAAGAAGTACGGTCCGGCCGTGACTGACTACAGGTATATGTGGAGGCCAGCAGCAGTGGGGGAGGAAAGTGCTAACTGGGTCAAAATGCTAGAGCGTTGGAGGAGTCACTAGGCTTACGGAACTCAGAAGGAGTTTTTCCTACTCAAAGGGCCTCTGAAGGAAAGACAGTGGAGGTGCCCTTCAAAGGGGGCGTACAGTCTACCATCCAGGACATCCTTGGAGGCGTCCGCTCCACGTGTACCTATGTGGGGGCAGCTAAGCTGAAGGAGCTGAGCCAGAGAACCACCTTCATCCGTGTCACCCAGCAGGCAAATCCCATCTTCAGTGAGGAGAGCTAGACTGCTCTGCCCTCCCAAGGCACCAGCACCTACCGCAGGGCCCTCAAGTGAGCCTCTGGCTGTGCCGGCTCCTTATTTCTTAGCATCTTACTCCTGAGGGCTCCTGCAGTAATTTTGTACTTTGTACAAACAAAATGCCTATGGCGTGCAGTGAGGAGGAAGCAAAGAAGAAAGGCTGAGAAGAGTAAGATAATCAAGTGGAAACCTGATAACCTGATCACCCAGCATCCTAAAGATAAGAGGGCAAGATGCTGGTTCACAGTGTCTTATGTGGCCTTGGTCCGAAGAGCTAAGCTTTAAGAATCATGTTTTGTTAATCAGCTTCATTATGACTAAAAAGCTTAGAGGAAGCGTTTATACATTCAGATAGTGCAATAAAGAGCAATCCAGTGATGTAAAGAGATTGTGAAGTTTTTATACAAGGCCTGGCCTCTGGGTGCTGCTGCAGCACCCACCAGTGGCACCAGCAGAAGCAAAGACAGTGAGTACTTTCCCCAAGAAATGTCTTCCTTCTAGCGTCACCCACCCCCAGGTAACCTGGCAGAGAGAATGTGAGAATGTACGAAGTGTATTCTGGCATGAGGGCACACACACACATTTTCAGAACAGCTAAAGGAAATTTCCTTTCCAAGCTTTCAGCCCTAAGAAGCCAGTTCTTTCTCTAAGAAATGCCCCACCCTGACCTTAAAGCAGCTTTCCTCCCCCTCCCCATGCCCAAAACAGTGTTTCAATAAATCCAAAGTTTAATCACTAGGCATTACAGAGTAATTTGAGGAATGTGGAGTCAGGCTGCCCACAGGGCTTGCACATTATCGCCATAAACAGCGCTGAGGAGGGCGACAGCAGAGTGCAGAGGGCACAGCTGTCCTACCCCAGGTGTCTAGAGCTGGCTACAAGATCACAGGGCAGGCTGCACTGGGGCCACAAGGGGGAGGTATTCACAGAAGGTGGGGATCAGGGTGTCAAACTTTGTCTTCTGATAGTTTTCCAGAGACTCCTGCAGAGAAGGGAGAGCCTATCACCACCTGGAGCCATTCCCTGAGCCCTCCATAATCTGGAGCAAGTGGGGTCTCAGCCTTGTTCTGCCCATTCCTTTCCCCAACTTTCTTTTCCTTCCCACTCACCTTTCCTTCCCCCTGGCCATTTTCTTCTTCTTCAGAGTCCAAAACCAAGTCCCCTATGGTAATGACAGAGCTGCACATAGATGGAGGACACACTGCAAAAAAGGAATGAATCAAACTACTCTTGTAGACAAACAGGCCCTCAAGAACCTAGGAGATGAGGTGTCTGACCCAGACCCAACTCGGGAAACTTACCTGGTGTCGTGGACCTAGGAGGCGATGACAGTCTTGGGTTCATGGGACAATCCATGCAATTCCTGAAGTGGGAGCAAGCAAAGAAGATAGGGTGAAGGGGAAGCAGGCGAGGATGCGCTGCTGCTAGGGAGAAGCAACTCTGTACCACTCACTCCTTTTGCTTGGAGGCAGACAGGTCAACTGGACTCTCCAGTGCTCTTCCGCCTAGTACCTGGGATGGACCCTTAGACTTGCCAGTGGGACCTGCTCTCTTGCCCACAGCACTTGCTGGGTCTGCCATGTATGTCCCTTGTTCTTCTCTGTTCTCAGGTTTAGCTATGACCTGAGTTGGTGAACCCAGGTTCCTAAAGGGGAAGAGCATGACTGTGGGGCGCTCTTTATGTCCTCCCCTAGTGGATGCCCATCGCGACTGGGTTCTTCTCCGGCCCAGGGGGGCCAGATTGAAGTGGTGACCAGCCAGAGGTTTTGGGTGCTTCCTTGAGGCTGCTCCCTGAGGAAGGCATGGCTCAGGCGTGGCTTTTGGCAAAGGACTGTGGAGCTCTAGTCTTGGTTGCTGAGGACTCTGCTCCATGGGTTCTGTCATGTCCACTGAGTCAGTAAGCAAGCATTCTGCAAAGAAAAGGAAGCTCCTTAGGAAGGGGACAGATGGTAGGTGAACTCCGCCTGGTTCCTTGTGCCTCAGATCCATGTAACCCTTCCAGTGAGTTGTTCCCAAAGGTGGTCTTGGGCTAGACTCCCTACTCCCAAATTGCTAGTATGCCCAGATGGTTCTGGTACCTGGTAGTGGCCACCCCATGTCCAGTGCATATTGGTTCAGGGCACAAGAAGAAGAGAGAGAGACTCCAGGCTGCATCCAGCTGAGTACATCCTGAAGCTGTGGGCAGGGAGAGAGGCATGAAAACCACACTTTTGATACAACCACCCCACACTATGCCCTTCTGTGTTTTGCTCCCATAAAACCTGCTGTGCTTGCAGTGCAGGGAGTGCTTTTTCCAGCTGACATAAATATTCAAAGAATAGCTTTTCCACTGCAGCAATAAAGGAGTCCCCATATTCTCGTGCAAGATCCTGCAGGAGAGGAAGAAAATGGTAAGGAAAGTACAATAAAGAGCCATATGACAACTTTCAAACTAGCCAGTCTCACCTGCAGCTTTGAAGCCAGCTCCACAGGGGCCTCTGCTAGTTGCTTCACCTGTTGGCAAAAGGTTTCCTGTGCCTCGGAAATCTCTCTCAGATCCTGCTTTGTCTGTTGAGGGTAAAGATGAAGGGGTTTACGGTAGGGGGCCAGAATCCATGGCCGGGATGAGTACTTTTGTTACAAATGTTAACAGATTAGTGTTTCTTCCCGGGGTTACTCACGGCTTTGGGGTCCCGCACAACAAGACCGGGTTCAGGGAAATGGTGATGCAGGGCATTCAGAACCTGGGCCCAAGGCCGATCCTGCAGGATCAGCTCCACCACCACCTGTGAACAGTACTGAGCTCAAAATCTCTTCGGGGTAACTGCCCTCTTCCAATTGGACCCACCCCCAAATGGTCGCTGAAGTCATCCCGCATCCCGCCCCTCCCCTCTCTTGGCTTTCCCAAGTCCTGGCCCCGATACCTTGGCCTTGAGGCCCATACACAGGCGTTCATGGTGTCGGTAGCGAACCAAGCCGGGAGCAGCAGCGCGCAGGCATTGCAGAAACTGTAACACTTGCGGAAACTGCTCCACGCTGCGTCTGCGCACCACAAGCCAGCTGGCAGCGGCGGCGAAGCGCAGGGCCACCGGGCCGGCCCCGCGGGGCGTACCCATGGCCAGTGCCCCACCCCGGGGGCAGTCCCTTCAGGCTCCGTCCGCCACCACCGGGCTTTCCAACTCCTCCCAGGGGCGGGGCGTCTGGTGGCCCTCAGAGGCTCGGTTATTTCGAGCTGCGCCGTATTCTTGGCGACCCGGCCGAGAGTCCTTCCAGGGACAGGCCACCGGAAACCTGGAGGTCTTGACTTCGGGCCGGAGCCCGGCTGGCGAAGATGGCACGCGACGCTGGCACCAGGTCGCTCTATTTACGCGCCGCCGCGGGCTCGAAGGCGAGCGCCTCCTCGCTTCCGGCGGTGCGACCGCCTACGCTGCCCCGGAAAAGGGTGGACGTGCACAGCCAATGGGCGGGCAGGCAGGGTCACGTGGCGCCGCGTCACTAGACCACGCCCCGGCAGGGCCCGAGCCGAGCCCGCGGGGTCCTGCCAGGCTGTGGTGGACGCGGCTGGGTGCTCCTGGCTCCTGCCTTACTGGATGCGGGCAGCAGATACGTCGCGGCCACCTCTAAGGCTGACGTCCGAGTCTGTAAATCGCCTTGCCCTCTTCGTCGCCTTCACCCTTGAAGCACGAGTCGGCCCCTGCAGTGCCTTCCCCGGCAGCAGTGCCTTCCCCGGCCGCGGGGCGCTTCCAATAAAAAGTCACCCGCCTTTACGGAACAGGAGAGGGCGCTCGCCCTTTAGAAAGGAATGCAGAAGTTGAAAAGACTTGTGCGATCCTTAACCTGGTTCTCTGGAGTCGTTTTTCCAGATACTGTTCTGTGATGTCTTTTAAAATATCGCATTTTGCAAATAAAGGGATAAAAGTTTCCTGTTTTGAATTTCTGTCCTCCTGGTTCACTTCAGTCTAAGTACTTTGCTGCCCTGTCTCCTTGTCACCCTTCCTGGGGTCTTTCCCTATTTCCATCTCCCAGTACAGACAGGGCCTGGCACACAGCGTACGACTTTGTTGACTGAATCACCTACCCGACTACCTTACAGGCAGTTAATGGAACTAACCTTTACTTGGAGCACTTCGTTTTCTTAAGCTTATGGTTCTTGTATTCCTCCCTGTCTCGCAGTAAGAGCAGTCTTCTGAGGTGATCCACACATTCAGCTGACTTAGAGGTTCCAAAGTTCCCCATGTTGGACATGTATGAAATTCTAGTTTCTTCCCTTTTAAATTTTATTTCCCTATATGTTGCCCTGAGTTTCTGACGCGTATCTATTTTCTTCTTTCTGAAGAAGTTCTCTTGACATGTCTTACAAGTCAGATCTGGTGACAAAGTCCCTTAATTTTTGTTTAAGAAAATATTCTCTGCTTTTGAAGGGTCATTTTACTGAAGACAGAAGTCTAGCTTGGTGGACTTTCTTCTTTCAATATATTAAACAGTTCCATCTCATTGGCATGGATTCTGAAGTCCAATATAATTTTTAGTTTTTGTTCCTCTGTAACTTGTACCTCGCTACCTTCATTCTCAATCTTCTTTGAAAGTTTTCTCTCTTTTTTTCAGTTTGACTGATACGCATAGGTTTATCCTGCTTGGTGTTTTCTGAATTTCGTAGGTCTGTGTTTGCTGTCTGTCATTAATTTTGGGAATTCTTAATCATTCAGGATGCAAAGTTTTCTTCTTCTGGTATCCTCATTATGCATATATTACAATGCTGCAAATGTCTCATAATTCTTTGATATATATATTTTTTCATTCTTTTTTTCTTTGCACTTCAAATTTGGGAATTTCTGTTGACCTCTCTTAAAAGTTCATTGATTCTTTCCTCAGTTTATGTCCAATCTATTACCCATCAAAGGCATTCATCATTTCAGTTATGGTGCTATTTATTGCAAGCATTTTCTCTCAGTTCTTAGTTTGTATCTCTCTGTTTATATTATCTACCTGTTTCAGGACCAAAAATGCCACATGAATCCCCTGTACAGACCATGAATCCATAATCCTTTTTCTGGCATGGACTGACAGATGGACAGAATAGCTGCTTCATTAAAAAATAGTTTATTAGCATTTGTGCTGCCCAGTGCAAATGAAGTTCAGCCCCTCTCCAGGTGCCCCGGCCTCCCCACCTGAGCCCCCGAGGAGCTGCTCTGAGCGAGCCCGTCTTGAAGCAGTGTCCATATTCATCAAACGCCAGTCCAGTTCCTCCTGATCCAGGGCTACGCCCCACCTCGAGAAGCCATCGGGATGGTTTCTCCCGAGTTGTCACCTCCGGGGCCTGAGAAGAAGCCACTGCCTCCGGAGGCTGGAGCAACGTCCACCTGGATGACCCCATGCACTTGGGAGAGCTGAGGGCTGTCCAAGCTGGCGATGAGCTGGCGGGGGCCTGGTCGTACAGGCACAAACGTCTGACGCAGCGTCACTGTCTCGTTGCCCCCAATGTCCCTGTGGGCAGACAAAGGGTCATGGAACTGGGGTGACTGGGGGTATAATGGGAGTAAGAACTGATGGGGCACCCAGGAAGGAAGAAGCAGGAATGGAGATTTTTAGTCACTGTGGTCTCAGTTGTTGTCTCCACACCCACAACCAGCCTGAATCCTCAGCCGCCTCCACAGATCTGTAGCCAGCCACCTGCTGCTGGGTGGAAGTCTCTGTCATTTGACTCCTCCCTGCCCACTCCCAAAGACACCTGGAGAAAGACTACTGCACTGTCTCCCCTCCTCTCACTGCCTGAACCCTCCCTAACCACTCCCCATATCATCTGGGGCATCTGAGAGCAAGGAAACCAAAAGGAGACTCCAGGGCTCAACATGGTATTACCAAATAATTTTTGTCTTACCAACCAAGAAAATGGAAGAAAAGCAATTGTCCTCTGCCACAATCACCTTTACAAAAAAGGAGCATTTCAATACTTCAAAACAGTGGACAGTGTTATCCCAGGAAAAAGGGGAAGATTCTTCCTAAGAGCAGCCAACTGGCATCTTTAAAATGACATATCTCTCATGTGAAGGTGAGAGACAGGGACATACACTACAGTGTCTTTATTATTCCAGTCTGTGGACCTCTGAAAATCTATTCCCAAACCATCCCTCTGGGAATCATAATATTGCCTCTATATCTCCCATCTTCTTTTTTCACGCTAGCCTCAGACCACTCAGAAATGAACTGACCCCTACAGGGTTTAGCTTCCTTGAGACCACAGCTGCCTAACCCAGTATGCCAGTTTGCTATGATTAAGCCCTCATCAGCCCCCACCATTCTTCCTGCCCACCAGCCCGTGGGCTCTTTCTAGTGAACTCTGAACTCACCTGGGCTGTTTCTAGGTCCAGCTCACAGCACCTGATCAATGAGAACTCCCTGAGCAATTCCTGCTCTCAGAAAAATGAATCTCTCCGTCTCGGAGCTCCTCCAGCAATCAACATGTTATTCTTTACACACTGGACATGATTGTATTGAAGTCAAACCTGCTAACGTCTGTTGTTTTCAGCCTCTGTTGAAAACCCTTCTGGCCCCTGTCACAACCTAAGCTCTCTTTGGAGACCCTTCTCTGGACCCCAACCCTGTGTAGACAACTCAGTCCTCCAGGGTACTGAGCCACCACCCGACTTGGAGGACAAGCTCTCCTTGAGGCAAACACTTAGCTTGGAGCCTGCTTCCTAGGGACCATCTTGGACCACCTGCTATTCCTTCTACTACTGTTAGTAGTGTGGTTTAGGGCAAGTTACTGAACCTTTCTGATCATAACTTTTGGATCTATAAAATGGAAGTGAACATAAGATAAGGATGTGCGAGTAGATGGTTTTGAAGGTGCTTATGAGCTCCACTGAGGAGGAAAGCAGGGGAGCAAGGAGAGAGAGATACCATTGTTCCTACCATGAGAATGAGAACTGGCCAAGTAAGCCTCAAAGCACTTTAAAAAGGACACCAGAGCCTTCCCTGATGGTGCAAGGGATTAAAATGCAGCACGATGAAGTGATCATCAGCTTCTGCTGCAGCGTGAGTTCAATCCCCAGCCAGGGAGCTGACCCACATGGCGCAGCAGACCTCTCCTGTCTCTCCAGCTGCTCCCCTCAGCAGTGTATTTCAGTGGATCTGCCTGTTCTGTTCCCCATCCTGTCTCTAATGAGTCCTCTCACCTCCTGCACTTCTGGCCTGTACCCAAGTTCTTGTATGCATAAATAAATAAATCTTTGAAAAAAATAAAACAGAAAAGGGGAACAGAATAAGTCTAAATATAAATCTATATATCTGTGTCTCTATGTCTATCTCTCTATTTACAACTTGCCTATTAAGTGATAGACTTGATTTCTCAACTTCCTACCATAATATGTAACTAGAAATTAAGTCTATTAGTATAACAGGGTGTACTCTGGGTGGTCACACAGTTGTGTGTTTAATGGGTGCCTGCTTTTACACAGACACAAAGTTAAAGCTGTTTGGGCTCAGACCAGCCTTCAAAAGTGCATTTAATCCACACTATACTTGAATTCCACCACTTCAGAAGCTAGAAATGTGTTGCGATCTCCCCTGTCTTAGTGTCATGTGAGATACGAAGTGAGCAGGTTGAGGATGCTAGCTGACAAAGCTGGAACATGCCTGCACCTGAGCACAGGTAGTGAAACTAGCTCCCTGATAAGGACACCAGGACTTAGACAGCCAGTTACACTGTTCTTCAATTACTTGCTCAACTATGATGCCAAAGCTTGAGACTTTCTTTTTAATCTGTAATTTTTCTTCTGAGCTATTTGAAACCATATATATCACATGTTCTCGTCTGTCTGTCATTTTTACACACACATAGTCTCCTTTATAGCCAAGCTTCATTTCTAATTCCATTATTACCCATCTTCTTCCCTTACCTCATTAATTCGTCTTAGCTCAGGCTGTTCCCCTAAAATTAAATCCATCCCCCAATAAAATCACTCTAATAGACATTCTATAGACAATGATTCAGGTTCTAGGGGAAATTCCCAAGAAAGATTTGGAACAGACTTTCCGACTCCCTTGGTGACTGTTTCAGTGGTGACAACAGCTGGAGGAGTAAGTTCTGGAATGTTTATTAAGTGGCCAGTCACCAGGCTGGGTGGCACGCCTGTTACCATAATGGATTTCCATACCACAGCCTTTGATGTGCAAATAAAAGCAAAGTAAACACCCATCTTGGAATCCAATCTATCCCAACCAGCAGCTCCAGGACTGTCCCCCTGGGGCTGTCAACTGTTTGGGAGGTCCCAGTCTGGGTTCACAGTCACTGAAGAGCCACAGAATGTTAGGACCTGCCTTGAAAGTCATCCTTCAACCATCTCATTCACTGGTGGGAAGATGGGCCTTGAGTGGGGAAAGGTTCACAGCAGACCTGAGACTGATGGGCCAGGTCTCCAACGCCAGCACAGTCCTCTCCTAACTCACTGTGGGGCAAGAACCAAAGGCCTGGTGGAGCCGCTGCGGGGAGTTTAGCTGGGGAATCCCTCAGGTGTGAGACACCTGCAGGGTGAGCTATGTGGGGCTCCCAAACTACTCTCTGAGCTGCCAGAGACCCTTCTGGGCAACAGGAGGAAAACACTTCCTTGTAATCTGTCACATCAGGGCCCTCCCTGGTGGGGCAAGGAGTTAAAGCACCGCATTATGAAGCTATTACAGCCACTGCAGCATGAGTTTGATCCCTGGCCAGGGCGGTGACCTCTCCTGACCCACCCGCTGCTCCCCTCAGCAGTACATTTCAGTAGATCTGCCTGTTCTGCTCCCCACTCTGTCTCTAGTGAATCCTCTCACCACCACCCCCTCCCGCACCTCTGGTCTATCCCCCAGTTCTGTGAGTATAAATAAATAAATCTTTAAAAAAATAAATAAATTGTCACATCATCCAGGGCTTCAAACTGGAACAAAGTTCAGCACAGCACACTTCACACACAGTCTGCTGTGTGTGACCCTCAACCCTCAAGGACCCTCTGCTTTCTCCCAACCCTAACACAGGTCATCACTTTCCCTCAGGTGCTCTGTGTGGTCAAAGGAGACTGCCTTTGTCCCCAGGAAGCTGAGGAGGCCTAGGGGAGCTCATGGATGTGTCAGAGATGAAGGCACAGGCCCTGAAGCACAGCACTGTGGGGACGCTCACTGGCTGGGCACAGACCCCCAGCTAGCCCGGTCCAGGCCAGGTGAGGGCCCGAGGCTTGAGGCCCTCTCCTCTAGGGCTGCTGCTATACCCTCATGGCACAAACCAAGCAACAAGCCTGAGACCTGTGCATGGTGCTTGCCATAGAGGGAAGAGCCGCGTCTGCCCTGTATGGACAGTGAGATTCCATAGAGGTGGCACCAGCTCCCCTGTGTAACATGGGGCTGATGGCAATAATCAAAATAACTACAACATCCATTAGAGGACTTTGTGAGCACTTCAATAAACCGGTATTGTCTCAGCTCATTCTCACAGTCACCCCTAGAGCCAGAAACTATTGTAATTCCTGCTTTATAGGTGAGACAACTGAGGCTTAGAGGAGATAAGTCACTTGCCCAAAGGCACCAGCTAGTGAGTTGAGGAGAGGGGACTTCTCCCAAGTCCCTGGGACCCCAAAGCTTTGGTCTCAATCACATGATGATCTCTGGAATACTTAAGGGGTCTTTGTGCTTTCCATATGAGATAATAGCCCCCTAAGAGACTGATCAACTCCTGAGGGCCAGGCAAATATTAGTGCTGTATGGCTAATAATTCCTAGGTGGAATTTTAGTTCCAAAATGAGACTGGGGGACGGGATACCGACTGTATCATGACCACCCAGCAGGTTGCCTCCTTTCTGTTAGAAGTGTCAGTGCTGGCTGGCCCCAAGCTGCTCTGAGGGACCCTGGCAGATGGTACCCAGCAAGCAAAGCTGGGACTGGGGTAGCCCAGGAGGCAAGGGCAGAAGCAGAGAGGGAGGAAGGCCAGACTCACCCAACGTTGAGAATCTTGGGTCTCTGTAACCCTGAGCCCTCCAGCCGGAAGACGACGTTGGTGAGGGTGATAGGCAGGGGGTTTTTGAAGACAATTTGTACTTCACACTCTTGGCCAACCACAGCTGCTCCCAATAACTGTGAGAAAAAGAAGCCATCAGACACCCTGACTGAACACAAGGGACTGTCCATGCCACCTGAGGGAGAACGCCTCAGAGCCAAATCCCCGCGTCTCACGTTTCTGCTCCCGAGAGAAGGTGCCCCAAAAGCCAGGCCGGTGACTCCAACTCACCGACCAACTGAAACTACCATAGAAACAGTGATATTACATCTCATTTTTACATCTGAGGAAACTGAAGCCCAAGAGCCCAGAGCCAGTGTTCAACTGTCTCAGCTGGAATAGCTGCCAGGCCTGTCTCCTCCAGGCTTAGTGTCCACCCCAGCCCCGCTGGTGCCCCTCGGTTCCCAGCACCCCTAGGCTCCCACACACCGTGAGGGAGAGGTCTGGGGTGCGCAGGCGGAAGGTGTGCTGCTTGGCTAGCACCTGCCCACTCTCCTTGACGTGGCCAGAGACGTTGAGCAGCATGGCTCCCTGGTCCACGAGGTGGGGCTGGTATTCCCTGTAGGACACTGGCATGACCACGCGGTCGGCTGGGGAGGAGAGACACGGTGTCACTGAGGCTGCTTCCCCAGAAAGAGTGTCCTGGCATCTCTAGGTCGGCAGTCCTGAGTGACCGGCTCATCCAGGAGGCGGGACAGGGGAAAGAGCACTTACAGGCCCCTGGTGCCAGGGCTACTTCCTTCTTGCTCTCCTTGAAGACGGGTCCGGTGACACCCGTGTAGTAGGTAACGGAGAGGTAGAGGTGCAGCTTTATGGTGCGGCGGCTGCTGCCGCGGTTGGTCAGCACCACAGAAAGCGTCAAGTCCTGCCCCATGACTGCATCCTGCGCCTCCACCTGCATTGCCACGTCCTCGGCCGAGTCCCGGGTGGCGTACACGTTGGGCTTGCTGCCATGGGCGGCTGCTGTCTCCACTGCCTTCCTCTCTGCGTCTGAGCCTGGAGGTTAAAGGTCAAGGGTGAGATGGCAGCTACTGCCGAAGTGAGCAAGTGTCCAGCAGGAACACTTAGTGCGGCCAGCCCCCAGCAAGTGGGGGAGTAGTACCTTCTGGGTGTTTATAGAGGTGCGTGATTTCCTCCTGCATGTTGGAGCCAATGGCCTTCGTGATGATGAGCGAGCCGATGGCCTTCTCCTCCACGTACACAATCTTGAAGCTGCCATCATCCTGCCGCTGCCAGTACACCTTGTCGCTGTTCACCTGTTGGGGGAGCGGGATGTGTAAGCCAGGAATAAGCCAGCCAGAGGCTCTGGGTGGGCCTGTCTCCCGGCTGCCTTCCCCCGTGACAGGTACTGCCTGCGAGGGCAGACCCAAAGGGTGGGAGCTTTCTGGCCGCACCAAATTGGGAGACTTTTCAAACTGCGCTGGAGAAGCAGGGGAAAGGCTGGTCCAGGAAGCTCCTTGCAGCGCATTTTGGCATTAATAACAGTAATCCCTCATGCTCATTCACTGCCTTTATGACTTATAAAGCAGTTTCATGCCCATTATCTCTTTTGATCCTGTGGACAGGAAGCATGGCAGCCATTATTATCCTCTTTAACAGCTGACGAAACTAAGAGTCCTAGAATGAGTGACTGGCCCAAAGTCACACAGCTAGACAGTCAGCGGTGAGATCAGGAGCAGAGAACGCAGGATCGCAGCCAGCGCTCAGCCCTCCCAACTCTGAGAGAAGTGTCGCCCTCACCTCAGCAAAAATGAAGGGTGTATCATACTTCATGTAGACCAGGCCATTCTTGATGGACTGCACGGAGCAGGGCCCACAGCAGAAGATGCCTAGGAGAGTGAGGGCAGGATTCAGGAGAGACACCGGGAAGGCCCATCCAACCAGGCCCAGTGCCCACTGCCCAGGGGTCGGCCTCTACCCAATCCAACCCAGGAAGGCAAAGAAAAGCACAGCTCTGTTTCCTCAGTCAGCACGTGTGCTGTCACAGGGACGAGTCTGCCTCCATAACCAAGTCATCGCATGCGCTCCCTCCCTTGGCTGAAGATGGATGCTGGGTGTCTATGACTCCCCAGAAGTCAGGACAGCCCCATCCTACATTCAGACAAACCCAGAGCCCTGCTTGTTGGCTGGGAGAACAATGATGATGCCACAGCCACCATTCCAGAAAGATCCAGAACAATCCCTCAGCTCTGTTGTGCCCTGTCTGTAGGGAGGTGGGAGGAGAAGGTGGGAAACAATCCGTCCTCACCATGCTCAGGAAGGTTTTATAGAGGAGAGGGCTGGCAAGGATCAGGTATGGCAGAAGAGGATACGGAACAGGAAGAGAGGACCAGCCAAAGAATGTACCTTGAAAAGCACCTAACGCACCTAACGCTATGTTTCATTTCTCAGATGGGAAAACTGAGGCTCAGTGAGGCAGAGTAGATGCAAGGCTACCCAATGAAAGTTGGAGACAGGAAATGAAAGGAACTACACCAGTATTTCCTGAGTAGCTATCATGGCCCAGGCATGCTGATGATGTTTAATACTTGATGCTCTCACTTAACCTTCCAACCATCCTACATGAACTCTGTGCTCCCCAGGTTACATGCAAAACATCCAAGGCCAAAGATGCGAGGAACTTGCCCAAGATGAGATATCTAAGAAGTGATCAAACTGGCACCAAGCCGGGGTCTCGCCCCCAAGTACCTGTCTACTGCACACCCCACCATGTCTCAGAGTGGGGACCAGACTCAGGTCTCCTGGGGTCCTAGGCCAGCATCACAGGCTTCCTTTGGGCCACACAACCCCAGGAGCACCAGGCACAGAGATGACTGAGAAGGCCTCTGGTTAGAGACCAGAGAAGGAGCGCAGGCCTGGTAGGGCATTCTGACGTGGGATGAGAAAGGGGGAGTGGAAGGCAGGAAGTGAGGGGGTAGGCTGGGCGGCCTGGGGCTGGAGGGCCGGAAGGGGGTGGGGCACCTGCTTGAAAACAGTGCACAGCAGGTGTAACTTTTGCAGAATGTGCAGGTGGACACAGAAAAGGGACTAATTAGAAGATGATGGCATTGGTGATTCTCTTAGGGCTGGATAAGAGGAGCTGTTTTTTTGCTTAAAGCTGTCTGAACCCTGATTTTTAAAAATAATATACCTATAATTCATAGAGAACAATGGAACAGACAGACAGGAACTTGGCAAGAGCTGGAATGTTTTTGAAAGAGGAGTGCCACGCAGGGGAGGAAGCTGGCCCAAAGCTCTGTGCCATGGAGAAAATCTCTCCACCTCTCTGGACTGAGGCTTCCCATGTGGGACACATGGCTTTCCCAGCTGATCTTTAGCATCCCCAGGGGAACTTTAAAAATACATAGACACTCCCCCTGGAATGTCTGAGGTAGCAGGTTTGGACGGGCCCTAGCAATTTACTTAAGGGAAAAAAAATCAAAAATGAGCTGAGAGAGAATAGGGAATTTTGTAGTCTATGTTATTCAATCCCGTTTTCGTTTCTTTCCAAGGATGTATTACTTTGAATAATGTTTTTTTAAACTTTAAAAAGGTATATAAAGAAATGAACCCTTCGATTAATTATCTCCAGAAGACATAAGTAAAAAAGCAAATGAGAACAGTGGTTTTGTTGGGGAAGGGAACCCTCTCACTGAATGCTCTTGAATCTTTAGACTTTCGAGCCACCTGAGTAGATTAACCATCACACATAAGTACAATTTAGACAAATGGGTAAGTTTTGTAGGAGGTGACAATAAGCCTCACCACTGCTGGTCTCCTGGGGTGTGGCATCCACAACTTGCCAGCCGTCAAAGCCTGAGGGTAGGTCTGGCCTCTTCATCCAGCAGTCGTTCCACACGTGGAAGTTCCTGGATGGACACATAGGGAGGGCTGGGTCTGACAGCCTGGCCGGGGCCTCCCCTCGGCAGGGACGAGCATCCGAACCCCGCCCAGCCTCACCAAACAGAATCGTGGTTCAGGTGCTCCAGTGGCTTCATGTTCTCGTCAAAGTAGATGTCCATGGTGAGGGACGTGTCTGTGTCGTGTGCTGAGTTGAAGTTGGTGACAGTGCGGGTGGCCAGGCCCAGGCAGCGTAGCACTGCAGAGAAGCCAGGGTTAGGGTTCTGGGCCCACAGCCGGGAAGAGGTGGGGGGCAGGTGAGGCATCGATCAGGAGTAACAAGGAGAAAAGGGCAACTGGGGTTCCCAAGCTGGGTCAGGGGTCACCGGGGTTAGGAGGCCTTTAGGCCAGGGAGCGCTGGGGGTAAGGGGAAGCCAGGCCACCTGCCTGCCCAGGTCCCTGCCCAGCCCTCTCCCACCTCTCCCCTAGGCCTCTCTAGGTTGTTAACACTAATTAATGATAATTAAGGCCAACCTATCATCCACCCCCGCCTACCCCAGCTCTGTAGCTACAGCTGGGCTGGGTGAAGGTGGAGCCAGGCCTCCCTCCCTCCTCATAGGCCCAGGCCCCTCCTGTCCCATTTTCTCCACTACCTGTGGTGGTGACACCAGCGAAGACCCAGCACTGGCCATAGGGAACAGAACTGCCAGTACGTAGGTAGCTGAGCAGGATCTCCACGCTGCCCACCCACGCTGACGGGTTGGTGCCGCGGGAGTAATCGCCAGACCAGTTCCCAATCAGGACGCCGTTGTCGTCCAAAGAGTTCACCTGCCCGGGACAGGATCGGGTGGGGTCGGGCCCTGCCATGTGGTCTCCAGCCCAGCCCCTGACCCTGCAAGCACCCCTCACCCCTAAATGCCTCAGGAGCTAGCTGGCAGCCAGCGCCCTGCCCACCCCTCCCAGAGCCATCTGCCCCCCTCCACCCTAGGCTGACATAGGAATGTGAATCCTGGGTGTGCCAAGTTTGGGTTCGGCCTTACATTCCACAAGAGCTGGACAACAGCCGACAGGTGGGAAGGGTGGGTGGGGGGAAGGCAAGGGAGGAAGAGGGGGAGTGAGACCCCTTTCCACAGTGTCCTTTGCAAGGGCAGGGACAGGGTGGGGGGCCTGGAGGCATCTGAAGGGGTAGGCGTGGAGGACAGGGAGGCAGACTCACAGTGAGTGAGTGACCTGAGTGCTCACCATGGCAGAGATGACCCGGGAGACACTGACTGGGTCCCCACGGCCTCCATATGGCATTCCCCGCCGGTCCAAGATATACAGGCAGGCATCCAGCACCCCATGGTCAAACTGGAGGAAGAGAAGGCAAAGGTGACCGCTGCCCACTTGAGACCGAGCCCGAACCCTAGGCCAACCCATGCTCCCCTGCCCCACCCTGTAGTACCCAAGTGCACATGGCCTGATCTGAGTGGACGCACCTGGCCGTAGTTCCAGGTACGCTCGCCAATCTGTGCTTCAGTCCCATAGTAAATCCTCCCGGATTCGTTCAGCACATACTCCTGCCGCCAGTCCTCATGATCCACGTACACGATGTCCTCTGTGTCCCCAGAACACATATGCCTGTTCCCCTCCAGGCCTCCCCTTTGCCCCGACTGCCCCCGACCAACTCTGCAGAACTCATGTTCCCAGAGAGAAGGACACCTCTAGCCTGATAGCACTGCTCCCAGAAGGACAGAGGGAGCTGCCCCAGAAGGTCAGGACAGGGTTGCTATAACCAGGGGCCTTCGCCAGGAGAATGGGACCTTGGGTTGGTCACTCTTCTAACACTGGACATAGGTCCCCTCCCCTGGAAAATGGGAAGGTGGCTTCTCACCAGTTACTGGGAAAGGAAGCTGCCCTGCCCGCCCTCCGCTCCTGACCCCAGCGGGCTTACCTGGGCACCAGGGGTTAAAGAGGATGTAGATCTCATTGTGGGGTTCAAAGGGTAACTGGAACTCGCCAGCTTCTGAGTGTGTGCGGACCGTAAACTGAAACTTGCCGATGATGGCGTTAGGGGAGGTGTGTACCCGTAGGTTCAGGCTCTGCCCACTGGACTTGGTCACCTGGGCCTTCCAGCCGCCACTGCCCCCCTTGCCCACTGGGATGATGACGTGGGTGCCTTTGCCCACCTCGGGGTTGTTTCCTAGAATGGGGAAAGCAGTAATTAGCTGGTAAGGACTCCCTGAGGAGGAGGGAGCCGGGACTCTCAGCCCCACCCAGAAGGAGTATGAGCCTAAGTGTGTGTGTGTGTGTGTGTGTGTGTGTGTGTCCCTGAGTTGGGCCACCACTCTGCTCCGTGACAGTCTCTTTGAGAGCAACTTGTCCCCACCCGATGCTTACCCGCATGTCAGGGCAGGGCCCCAGTCCAACATCCCAAACCTGTTCCCCCGACACTGAACTCGGAGGTGGGCAGGAGAGATCAGGTCACCGTCACCTCCGCCTGCCTGCCTGCCTGCCTCTCTCAGTGCCTGGGCTGGAGACGCACAGCTGCCCTGGCTTGGCCCAGATGCCCCTCCCCTCATGAGGCGGGAGGCCAACCTTGCCTGCTTCCTGGGGCTGGAGCTTCCAGGACCCAGGACATCTCTGGTGGAGGGGCTCGGGGTACCTGGGAAATTAGAGGCTGAGGTGGGCAAGGCTAGGCCCTAATCAAAGGGTGTGAGGAGTCACCTGCCCCCGGCATCAGCATAATCACCAGCCTGGGCACTCAATGGCCACCAAGCAACGCGATGAGAGAAGAACCTGCCCTGGGTCATGGACAGAGCGACACAGTTGGACAGAGAGTAGAGAGAATCGGCCACTCGCCTGGGTAGGAGAGCAGACCCAGAGAGAAAGACACGGGTGGCAAAGTTGCTGGAGAAGCTGAAGGAGGCCCCCAAAGAGAAACTATTTGGAGACAGATGGCCCTGAAGTCTTGAAGAGGGCGAGTGTAGAAAAGCAGGCCACCAAGTCCTTCTCTGGTCACTCCCTAGGGACACGCTCATTCTTTTCTAGCGGAGGTGAAAGAGGGTCGCAGGAGCAGCCCAAGGATGCCCCTCTGACCCCCTAGCCAGATCCCCCCTTGTTCCAGGACAGGGTCGTCACCCTTCCCACTGAAGTTTCCACTGACCGATGACCAGCTCCAGAATGACGCGATCGGAGGACTCATAGGGCCGAGACAGGAAGAGGACCATGTGGAAAGGCTGTCCCCGGCGTAGAATCAGCTCATCATACTCGAACTCATCCGTGTGGTGCTCTCGGCGGTTCTGGTCTGAACGACTACTCAGCAAATCCACACCAGTCACCACCAGCATGCCCTCTGCAAGGCCACAGCTCCGGTCAGCACAGCCTCATGGTGACCCCCAGGCCCCACGTTATCCTCCCAGGCCCCCCAGAGATGCCAGGGGGGTTTCAGCTCCCACAGAGGCCTTTCAGCTCTCAGCTGAGGGGAGCGGGCAGGTCTCACCTCTGATGGTGCCATCTCCAGCTGCATTCACAGTACCACCCCGGGAGTCTGGCCTTCGACCAGCACTGGAGCCTCCACGGGGCCCAGACCCCCAGTCATCATCTGTCCCTCGGCATGTGCAGCAGCCACAGCAGCGCGCCCAGAAAGAACGACCCCGACCCCGGCGGCGGGAGCGGCGGTCGGGCTCCGGCTCCGGCTCTGGCTCTGGAGAAGGTGTGGCGGAGGGCTGCCTCGGGTTCCCGCCCCAGCGGCCCACGTCTGACCGAGGACCGTCCATCGACCGAGGACCGTCCATCGACCGAGGACCGTCCATCGACCGAGGACCGTCCATCGACCGAGGACCGTCCATCGTGCCTGTGTGGAAGAGGCAGGGAGGCACTGATCAGACAGCGACACCCAGGACACCCCAGCCAGCCCTCCCAGAAATGCTCCCTCTAGGGAGCTGACTCAGTCCCAGCCAGGTGACTGATCTAGACCCAGAGAGAGCCCACCCCGAAGATTCTTTCCAGACTAGAGAGACACAGAGCTGAGGAGTTTTACCCCTCTCGCCCCCACATAGACAACCACCAAACCAGATGCCCGCTTGAGAAACCTGCTCAAGGGCCCACTCCAAGAAAGCAGACACTTGTCACAGCCCCAAGACCCAGTGGCACAGACCATCCTGGGGCTGCCCCCTCCACCTGCGGGCGCCTCTGGCTAGAAGCCCTGGAGCAGATGCTTCTAGGACCCATTTCTTAGCAGAGGTCCTCCACACAAGTCCATGTAAAAGACTGGTGGTGAGATGCAGGAGTTGGGGTCCTTGGCGTTTCCCTCTTTGGGTTAACTGCAGCTGGGAGCTGCCGGAGAGGTGGAGCATGCAGGTACCAGGAACCTGTGCTCTCCTCAGGAGCACAGGCTGCCTCCTCGCCTCCAGGGCCTGCAGGCTGGGGCTGGCCCGCACCCCACCTTGCTGGGGCTGGACCTCGGGGCCAGGCAGGCGCCAGACGGAGTCTCCCAGCACAGCACTTCAGCACAGCTCCTCGGAGTCCCTCACCTGGCGGCGGTGTTGGAGAGGGCAGCGGCGCTGAGTCCCGGCCCGCCGGCTGGGAGGAGCAGGTCCGGACTGATGGGACGGGCTGGACAGGCTGGACGCCGCCGCCGCCGCCGCCGCACGAGTGGAAGGTATGGGGCGGGCGGGCAAGTGGTTTATGAGGGGGGAGGGCGGGGCTGGAAGGGGAAGCAAATGTTTCTCCATCCCCCCTTAGGGAGGGAAGAGGCCGGGCCTCTGAGGGGTTGTCTCACGAGCTGGAAATCAGGCCTGGCTCCATCCTCTTTCTCCTTTCGAGGAATGCAGATGTGGGGTGGGGCCGGGACAGGGAGGGACCTGGGCTGGGGTCTGTCAGGGCTGAAGCAGGGCTGAGTCGTGGAAGGCTGTGGCCGGCTGGGCAGTCTGAGAAGACTATCCACCAGGTTGCCTCCTGGCAGGCGAGGAGGGAAGGAGCCCCTTCTCGGGAGGGCACAAGCTAGACTCTTCAACTTCTTGGGAGCCCCTCCACCCAAGCCCCTACGCGGCAGGCCCTCACGGCTCCTAGTTCAGGCTGCCCACACCGCTCTCATAGTGAGGTTCAGTCCTGCCACACTGGTCCATGAGCCTGCTCTTGGGACTCATCATCCTGCCCAGGGAGGTCCCAGCTCCCAAGCTACAGACGGGTGACTTCAGCACCCAGGTCCTCAGACTGGCTCCACCAGCCAGCCCCTGACCTGCCGGCTCTACCACCCTCCTCCCACCTGGCCTTCTTCCCCCAGCAGCTACACACAGCATGAGTGCTGCTCCCAAATTCCTGTCCGTCCAAATTGGGGCTTGCAGAGGGCAGAGGGGTGGGTATCAGAGTAGGAGCAAGCTCTTTTTCTCCCCAGTCTGAGGATTTGGGGGTGGCCCAGGTGGAAGCTGAGACCCCCTTCTTAGGCTGCAGAGTACCCCTTTCTCTGCCTGAGAAGGGAGTCTGGTCTGCCAGAGTCTAGGATTCTTCAACCTGGAATTCTCCCTGGGAATCCTGACCAACCGGCTCCAGGCATCTGCCCTGTGAGCAGCCCCATTCCACCCCAGCGCTGGGAGAAAACACTGGGGATGCCAGAGAACCCCAGACGGAGGAGGCAGGCATCTTCAGGAGGGGCCCTGTTCTTGGGACCCCGTCCCTCAACCCCACTGGGGTCCCAGTTCTGCCCATAGGCCACTGAAGATAAGAGAGTGAAAAGGTTGGAAGCCAACTGGAAGGAAGACTGAGTTAGGTGACACATCAGGCAGGGGCCGAGGGAGTGGGGACAGAGGATCTAGGAGAGGCCTCCACACCCACACCAACCTTTTTCTGTCTTGCAACTAGCCCCAGACCTGGCACGGGGTCTGTCCCCACCTCCACAACCACAGAGGCAGCAGAAGAAATCCAAATTCCAGGCCGGTCTGAGGCAGGTCAGAGGGCTTTGTGGAGGGGATGTTTGTAAATTGCTATGGCTACAGGAAGGGGTGGGGCGCCAGAGGTCCGGATGTGTGAGCTCTGTAGTACCAGGTTGAGTCCCAAGAGACCAGGAAAATGCCTGTCACACTCTCTCCCTCTTGTTCAATCCACCTTTCTTTTCCCCACCCAACCAGGTTTGACTCAGTGCGCTAATCTCTAAGCTGCTCCCCTTTTCTCTGCTAGGAGGCCAGGACCACAGGGGGAGGGGGTGTCTGTACACACATGCATAAGTGTACATGAGTGCACATTTTAGGAGGGTCAGAAATGAACACCCTGGGAACAGATACCCAGGTCAGTACCTCCAGGAGCTGAGGCCAGGCTCTGCTCAACCATTCTGCATCAATAAGAAAGCTAGAGCATGAGTCTGGAGCCCCAGACCAAGGTGTAGAGACAGCTTTGGCTCCAATTCTCGAGCTCAGCAACCTTGGGTGCGTCTAACAGCAGTTTGGCTTCCTAATCATCTCATACTTGAGAGCTTGAGGATCAAATGGGATCAAGCATTTCCAAGAGCTCTGCAACCGACTGCAGAATGCTATTCATGGGGCCTGACACTGTTGTTTTAGTAGGGTGGGGCAATGGCATACTGGCCCAATCCTCGGGGAAACTGCCTTCTCAGCGGGAATGAATGACAGCCGGTGCAAAGAGGGCATCTGAAAGGGGTAAGGGTCATGGAAGAATCATTTATGAGCCCTTGCACCTGGAGCGCCTGCCAGCCGCTTTGTAGTCCAGCCCACAGCACAACCTAAATGCAGACCTGAACCCAGTCTAAACCCAGGCCCAAACCAGAAGGCAAACTCAAATCTAGCTCTCACCCAGATTCTGCCCCAAACACTTGGCTTTCCATAGTAAGGAATGGCAAGACAGCAGAAAATGAAAGTACAGCAGGTGAACCTGACTCTCCTTCTCCAGAAAAGGTGGCAGGGGCACTGGCAGTGGCAGCAAGCAGTCGTGGGGGGCTCTCCATTTTTATTCAGTCCCAATAAGTTAAAGGGCAGGGGTGAGGGTAGTCTCTCAGGTGAGAACACTGTTCACCGAAGGCAGCATTTCAGCCAGGTGCTCCAAGATGCCCCCAGCTTGGCAGAGGGGGTTGCCCTGCAGGTTGAGGAGGACCAGCTTGGGGCAAGACGCAAGAGGCTGGAGCACTGCAGGCTGCTGGAGGCCTTGAGCAGGAACGTCAAGGAAAACTTGGCAGGTTCCTCAGTCTGCCCACACCTGGGCTCTCATCAGTTTTCCCTCAGCAGCCAGGAGAGCTGCCTGGAAGCCGAGCTGAGGACACCTCGCTGGCTTGCCCAGCGGGAGTCAGGCCTCAGGCCCACGGAGGCCTGGGAGGGAGCACAGGAGGCAGGTCAGAGACGTACTGGGAGTGGTGGAGGCTGTGGCCAAGGGGAACGACAGCCCTGTACACAGGAGTGCAAGGCACCTCACAGGAAAGGGTTGCAGAGTGGAAATGCAGGCTAAAGGTTTTGCTTTACCTTCCCATTTCTAAGAGGAATCAGAATTCTACATTTTTTTTTGCTGTGCAACTGCCTGGTTTTTTTTAAAAACCCCATGTGGTACTCAAGCACCTCTTCAGGCCGCCTGCTCGTCACCTCGGACTGAGGAAGTCATCGCCACTCTTGCACAACCCCACCAGTACATGTCAAAGACAGTCCCGCACACAGCCTCGGTCCTCACCTCAGGCTGCCAGGGCGGCCCCTCCCTTCTCCAGGGGTCACCCCGCCTGCTGTCTGTGGTACCTCACCCCCCCCCCCCAGCTGAAAGGCACCGGAAGGAAGGATACGGTTGTTGCACACTGAAAGCTCCTGCAGCCGGGGCAGGTTGGCAACACCTTCCAGAGACTCAAGGGCATTGTCGTTAGCCTGGAGCACCTGGGCGGCAGGGTGGCCAAGGCAGAGCGGCTGTCAGCCTGGGGCTGCTCCAACCCACTGGGGAGCCCAGGGTGGTCAGTTTATAGTGCAAGAAAGGGCTCCTGAGGTATGGCTGGGCGACAGAGGGGGGAAGACCCCCACAGACAGACATCTGTGGGGGTTGGGAGGATCTGGACATCTCTGCGGGGTGGACAGACTCTGGAGGTAGAGGGAAGGGAGCGGCCTACTCGGACAGTGGTGGAGGTGTGAGGGCTTTACCTCCAGGCAGCGCAAGGCAGCCAGGGCTGGGGGAAGGGCTCGGAGACGATTGTGCGACAGGTCAAGATGAGTGACCAAGAGCAGCTGCTCCAGATGGCAGAGCACAGTCAGATCCTGAGGGAGAGGTGAGATAGCCAGTGAGACCTAGGGATGTGTCCTCAGCCACCGCTTACCTGCACTTGCTCTCTGTACCCCACACAGGCTCTTGGGGACCTTCGGTGAGTGGATGGAGAAGGTGGCACACTTATCTTACAACCACAGCTGTGTACGTGCCCCACCGAGGACACGGGACAGACTATTGGCTGCGGGGTGGCCCATGGGGGGGGTAGGTAGAGAGGGTAAACAGAACACGAGCAGGAGCAGGCCTGGACAGCCTGGGGGTGGGTTTGGCAGGAGTGGAGGAGTGACGGCTTTAGGTGTAGAGGCCTGCTCCAGGAGGGAAGCACGGGAGTGAGTGGAGGGTGGGTGAGGGAAGATGCCCAGGTGACTCGGGATTTAAACAGGGCAGCAGAAGGGTGGGCCAGCGCCAGAAGTTCCTCCTGGGAGAGGAGCAGCCGTGCAGGAGGATGAACTCAATCTGGTTGGACACCATGTCCAGAAAGGCACCTGAGTGTGAAGGCAAAGCCAGGGGTACGTGAGGCTGCAGAGAGGCTCAGGTGTCGCCCAGGCAGGGCCGACAGAAGCTGGCCGTGGTGGGTGCTGGACCCCAGACTTGGGGTGGCCTTCATAATGCAGTATATACAGATGCTGCTCTATCATGCTGTGTGCCTGAAACTTACAAATGTTACCAACCAACTGCTACTTCAGTTGGAAGAAAAAAAAGCTGGCCACGTCACCAGGAAGAAGGGGGGGGCCGGCGGGGGAAGGCCGGGGAGGCCTGTGCCGCACCTTGTGCCCCAGGTGCAGCACACGCACATCTGCGTACTCCATCTTGAGCACGCTGTTCTCCACCAAGAACTTGCTGCGCAGGTCATCGAGGTACGCTGCCCGCATCGGGTCCACGGCCTGGCGGGGTGGAGCGAGGTGTGTGTGTCGGCCGCCTCCCGGCCCACTGAGCCCCCCGTGCTTGCTCTCACCAGCTCGCTTACCTTGAGGGTCTGGAAGTACTGCAGTGTCTCCTTCTCATACAGCAGGGGGTCCAGCGCCCGCATCAGCAGGATGATGGTGAGCAGGCACCCTGAGCAGAGGCGGGGAAAGGAAGATGGCTCCTGAGTCCTCCTCTAAGCCCACCCCCTCGAGCCCATCTCCCCAAGGGGGCCTCACATTTATTCTCAGGCTCCAGCTCCTGCAGCTCCTTACAGGATTCAAGCTCGGACTGCAGCACTGTGGACTTCTCCACCGACAGCTCAGACCTGTAGGTGGGCAGAGTACAAACGGGATGGTGTCCACAGCCCTGGGGTACCCCCAGTCTCCAGTTGGAGGCCATCACCCATCCCAGTTGCCTGGTGCCCAGACCCAGAGCCCCTCTCCTTGTCTGAGTGCTTCCTGGTCGTCACCTGAAGAGCTGCTCATCTGTGGCTGAGTCCCGGCACCAGGCCTCCTGGCGGCCTGTGGGAAGAGAGTTGGCAGTGGGGGGTGGGGGGGGCAGCCATGAGAGGAAAAGGATGGGGGGGCTGCTACAGGAGGGAGGGCTCACCTTTTAAAAGTACACACTCCTTCTGGGCATCACCAGCCATCCAAATGACACGAAATGAATGCTGGGGCAAGTGGTCATTGAGGGAGGCAGCAGGCAGGTCACAGAGCTGGCAGCATGGGGTCAAGGAAGGACCGGGCCACTTTTCAGACTGTTCCCCCCAACTCTGTCCCAGCCCTCATTCTGCCCCACCAATCCTGGGATACCCAGACATGACTGGGCCGGTTCCTGCCATCTGGTGTCCTCCATTCCACAGCCAGGGGTGACTCATCGACCATGAGCAGCAAAGTCTCTGTTCTGGCCCCCACCTGGTGCAGGGGACAAAGAGAGACCCATCAGCCCCAAATGCATCAGGCCCACAATCCATGACGCTCTCCGGCAAAAGATGCAGGACTCACTAGGAGGGGCCGAGAGAAGGAGACAGTCACGCAGGCCTCGTCCCGGCTCACGTGCAGGCAGTGCAGGGCATCCTGGGGGTCAGCTGGGGGGAAACACAGCCTCAGGTCTCCTTATCCTCTTCCATGCTGTCCAAGTCCTAGACACACAGCCTCTGCCCCACTGCTCACCTCGTCCCAGGAGCCAGCGGTGATAGAACCAGGCACTCTGATCATTGGGGTCGGTGAAGAAGGCGTTCTGCACCAGCTCCAGTTCTGCAGAGACCATGGAGGCGTGGGCAGTGGTGAGGACCCTGTGGGCTCCCAAGACCCCACCCTCGTCTCCAAGTACCTCTAGCCTACAGTTGCACTTATCAATGGGCCTGCACAGCATGTATCAGTTTTATCCTCCCCACTGGATACGTGAGCTCCCTGCAACCAGGGGCTAGATTATATGTACCCCCAGAACCAGGCACAGAATGGGCACTCAAAAAACCCAAGTGGCAGATTTGGGGGCACTGTTAGGCATCGGGGCTTCAAGAGAGGGCTGAAGAGTCTTCTCCAGAACTGTGACTCTGTTTACCTTTAAGCAGCACATCTTCAGGGAGGCGCCCCCGTGATCCAGAATCTGGCTGGGGATGCAGCTGGGGCAACAGGCAGGATCGGTAATGCCAGGAAGAATAGTTGGAGAAGTTTCGGGTGATGAGGCTGTCCGTGAAGGCTAACTCCTCAGCAGGGGCCACAGCTGCCTGTGCAGCCACAAATCGTCGGTAGTCCCAGCAGTGAACTGGGGGGAAGAGGTGACAGCATGTCTCAGAAGCAGGACAAGAGGCCCTCCCTGGTGGCGCAACGGGCTGGGACAGAGCACTCAAGCGAGCCGCAGCCATTTCAGTGCGAGTTCGATCCCTGGCACCGGAGGTGACCCACATGGCGTGGCAGACCTCTCCTGACCCGCCCGCTGCTCCCCTCAGCAGTGTACTTCATCAGTCGGCCTGTTCTACTCTCCCTACTCTGTTTCTGGTGAATCCTGTTGCCGCCCCTGCACCTCTGGCCTGTACCCCAGTTCTGTATACAAAATAAATAAATCAAGAGGAGCTCCCTAGCTGGTATTTCTGAAGTTCCCTGGGAGTCCCCAGAAACACCACTGTGCACTCCATGGAGGATGTGCTTGGCCCCTTTACCCCTTTAGCCATCAGCTCAGTGGGTCTGTCCTGGCTGTCCCTCCCCACTCTGGGCCTTATTTAAGCCACAGTACCAGGTTTTGGGGCAAGCAAGGGCTGCAGGCAAGACCCTGCAGGCACATACAGTTTCGCTCATCAATCTCGAGGAAGCGGGCACACAACTCCAGCTCCCGGGCCCAGTTGGGCTCTGGCAGGCGGCCCAGCAGCCAGCAGCGGTGATGCCAGGTACCATAGGACTTGGGGTTCACCCTCAAGCAGCTCTCCAGGAATCCCAGTTCTGCCTTCACCAAACCAGCCAACTCCTCAGGAGACCTGAAGCCGGAAGGGATTGGGGATCAGGGCCCTCCTATACCCAACTTAGCTTACCCCTGACTGTCTGTACCAAGCCCTCCACTGCCCCCTCTGCTTATGCTCCTGAGTGCCCCACTTATCCACCCCTAGGTCCTGCCAGGGAAGGGGCAGGGACAAGGCCATTGCCTTAGGGCCCTGAACTTCTACACACTTTTGGGCCTCCAGCTGCTGCAGCACCTCTCGCCGACAGTTCCAGAGGGTGGCAAAATCAGGGTTGGCTCCCAGAATCTGGCTTGTCAGTTCCAGCACTGATTCATCCAGCTCACCGGCCTGGCGCTGAGAAGACATGTAGCAGTTCGTATCATTCTCCCTCTACAGGGCTAAACAGCATAAATGCAACTACCAGACAGTCTTCGAATCCCATACTGTACAACAGGTACTGTGCAAAGCACTTCATGACTTTACATGTATTTTCTCATTTAATTTTCACAACTGCCTTATACAATGACTAGCCCCGTTATACAGACCAGCAAACTGAGGCCCACAGAGATTCAGTAAGTAATGCCCAACGTCACAAAGCTGGTAAGTGACAGAACAGAGACCTGGACCCAGGCAGCCCAACTCTAAGGCTCAGTTCTTGGTCTCTGTGCTATAATAAGGGGCCACCTGGTGAAGGGGCTGCCTCTATTGGCCCCACCTTTTGGAAGACGGCCTGGGTGGCTGATTGGTATAGCTTCAGTTTCTGCTCCCGCTCTAGCCTTTTGGCCTCTGCCTGCTCTTCCGACGTCTTCACCTTCAGGCGCCCGTGCTACAAGGATGGGCGTGTTGGCAGGGTGCACGCTGCCTTGCAGTGAGAGACACCCCGAAACCTCCCACGCACCAGGTATAAAAGGGCAGCGCGGCAATGCCACGCGGGGAGAGGGTATGAGCATGCAGAGGTGAGGGGCTCGGCTCAGGGTTCTCACCATAGTGCCGGCTCAAGGTTCGGGACAGGGGAGGGGTCCAGTGGTGAGCCCTTGAAACCTGGGGAGAGAGGTGTCAATCATGGCAACCCCGCCCCCCAAAGCACCGCCTCCAGCTGTCCCCCGGAAGCCGCAGACGAGCTAGGGAAGAGACCCCCGAGAGGTAAAGGAGCCCTGGGACAATTTCGCACATCCAGCCCACCCGAACTGAGACTTGCACTCGTGCGGCCCTGCCTACAGCCGATGCGTCGGGACCGGATCGTGCAGGGGCAGTTGGGTCTTGGGACCACTTCGCGCCAGGAGGCTGCAGCTTCCCGCCCGCCCCACGGCTCCTAGGCACTCCCGCCCCCCGCGGGCGGACCCACCTGCACCGGGAGGAGGCGTGGGGGACACGGAGCAGCAGCGCCTGCCACCGAGCATGGGCGCTGTCTAGAGTGGCGCCACGCCCTGGCTCTCCGCGACGCAGCGCCCTCTGCAGGCCTGGCGGTGGCCTGAGGCGAAGTTGGCGGGCTCGGCCGCGCGTGCGCAGGCCCTCCGCGGGGCAGGTGCAGGATGGACAGCCCTCTGTTGAGTACCAGCTTGCATCCTACAGACCGCGCGGGCGGCGCAGCGGCCCCACCCAGCTACAATCTGAAGTGATTTCTTCAACAGTCAGAGACCCATGGTCTCACTGATCTCACCCTGACGGCCCTGGCCACCTGCTGGTTGCCCAATCTTCTGGGATGTCTTGCAGCCATTGAGGCCACTTCCTTGGACTTCACACCCTGTCCAGGTTTCTTCTACACCTTGCCCCTCCTCTCGTGTGTTCACCTCCTCTTCCTATGGGCTGGTGATCTCCAGGGCCTCTTCTTCACCCCCTTTTCTGTTAACACACTTTTCCTTGGAGAATGTGCACAAGCCAAATCTTCAGCTGCTTGGAGGTGGAGCTTCCCAGAAGTGTCCCTCCCACAGATCTTTGCGCCCATACTTTCTCTGGGTGACTTCATCCACACTCATGGCTTTAATTGCCACCTGTAAGTTGATGACACTCATATTTATATCTTCTGTTCAAATCAAGTGTCTCGCAAGCTTTAATTATACACACAAACATATTCATATTCAAAAGCCTACTGGAATATCACCTGGGTATCCTAGAGCCATTGCAAACTCAAAACGTCAAAGCTCTTATTGTCTTTCCTCTGTTCCATATAAACTTTGGCCTTTATACTTCCTATAGTAGTGACTCTGTTGCCTCCCCACTTTTCCTTGACATCTCTTATGCACCCTGTCCCTTCCCTTCTGCATAAAGAGTTTAAGCTCTTTCCTCTCCCTCCTCATTACTGAAATTTTCCACATTCCCCTCTCTTCTATCATCAGTTCATCCTCTGTGCTGCTAGACTAGTCTTTCTAAAATAAAGTTTTGGTCATGTCACATTTCTATGGCTCCTGACAGCTTTTGAGGACAGACTGTCAGCACATCAGGCCTTTTTTGGATGCATGTCTCCTCTGGCCTTGTGTCCGTCTGTCTGTTAAAAACCCTCCATCAGGGCCCTCCCTGGTGGCGCAGCGGGTTAAAGCACAGCACTGAGAATCTGAAGCCACTTCCGCATGAGTTCGATTCCTGCCTGCCGCCTGC